ATAAGGGAAAGCCATTAAAGCAGAAGTAATAAACTGAAGGTCTTTCATGACAAATAGATGGGGAAACAGTGGAAACAGTGGCTGACTTTATTCTTCTGGGCTCCAAAAATCACTGCAGATGGTGATTGCAGCCATGAAATTAAAAGACGCTTACTCCTTGGAAGGAAAGTTATGACCAACCTAGAGAGCATATTAAAAAGCAGAGACATCACTTTGCCAACAAAGGTCCGTCTAGTCAAGGTTATAGTTTTTCCAGTGGTCATGTATGGATGTGAGTGTTGGACTATAAAGAAAGCTGAGCATCGAAGAATTGATGCTTTTGAACTGTGGTGTTGGAGAAGACTCTTGAGAGTCCCTTGGACTGCAAGGAGATCCAACCAGTCCACCCTAAAGGAGATCAGTCCTGGGTGTTCATTGGAAGGACTGATGTTGAAGCTGAAACTCCAATACTTTGGCCACATGATTCGAAGAGCTGACTCATTTAAAAAGACCCTGATGCTAGGAAGGATTGAGGGCAGGAGGAGAAGGGGTCGACGGAAGATGAGATGGTTGGATGGCATCACCGACTCGATGGACATGGGTTTGGGTGGACTTCCGGAATTGGCGATGGACAGGGAGGCCTGGTGTGCTGTGGTTCATGGGGTCGCAAAGAGTCGGACACGACTGAGCGACTGAACTGAACTGAACTGAACTGGTAGTCTCTGTTTCAAGACGTATTTTATACCCAGTACAATGTGTTGCCAGCACTTATTCTTTAAAATTTTTAATTTATTTTAATTTATTTTTTGGCTGCACTGGGTCGTTGTTACTGCTCTTGGGCTTCTCGCTAGTTGTGGTGAGCATGAGCCCCTCTCTAGTTGAGGAGCGCAGGTTTCTCATTGCGGTGCCTTCTCTTGTTGCAGAGCACAGGCACTAGGGCGCTCACAAGCCCAGTAGTTGTGGTGCATGGGCTTAGCTTCCCCAAGGAACGTGGAGTCATCCTAGATCAGAAATTGAACCCATATTCCCTGCATTGGCAGGCAGATTCTTAACCACTGGACCAGCAGGGAAGTCTGCCAACACTTAATTTTAATTTCAAAGTAGGATGATTTCATATAAATGGTTAGATTTGCAGCTCCTCTTAAAAAAAAAAAAAACAAACTTGAAGACCTCCCTATACCAAACCCCAAGTGTTTGCTGAAGGTTCAGTATGATTCAATGTTGGGATTTTGCTGACAAGTATAATAAAGAAGTCAGAGGGGGATTGAGGTTGAGCCTGCCTTTAAGAAAATGATTATAATGCTAAATCATACAGTCTAAGCTGGATAACATGGGAACTGAAGTCTAGAGGGGGCTGATGAATAGGACATGGTTCTTCAGTGGATTGCTCAAAGAATTATTGCTTTAAGAAGTATTTTCACAAGTTAACCAGAAGAACAGGAGGTTGTATGGGAGAGTGAGGTGTTAAGGGCTATGATGGCAGGCATGGAAATTTCTGGTGAAAATAAGATCCAGGGTATAATCATGGGAGTGGATGACTGACATGGATAGAAGGAAAAGTCACCAGGCATGAGCCAGCCAGCCCCCTGAGAGATCAGAATAATGACAGGAACTGAGATGAAGAGACAGACTTTAAATTAGATGCTGAAGTTTTCAGTGAATAGGAGAACGTGACAAGGAATCAGAGGATGACAGCTTTGATCACTCCTGACAGTCCTGAAGGGGGGCGGGAGGCTGACAGTTTAGGGAGCAAGGGAGGTAGGAGCCCCTTTCTGATCCTGAGGTACACAGGTGCTTTAGTTATCTCAGGCCACTAAGACAAACTACCACAAACCGGGTGACAGAGTCAACAGACATTTATTACAATTTCCGAGGCTGCAAAGCCCAAGATCAAGATGCTGCCAGATTTGATTGCTGATGAGAGCTCTGTCCTGGTTGGCAGACTGCCACCTTCTCTGCATGCTCACATTGCAGGGAGAGAGGGGACTCTGTCCAGTCTTTTCTTCCTCTTCCTATAAAGACATTAATCCCATCATCAGAACTCCACTCTCATGACCTTACCTAAACCTAATTACCTCCCAAAGATCTCATCTCCTAATACCATTGCACTGATGGTTAGAATTTCAACAAAGAATTTTGGGGAGACACAAACAGTCCATAACAATGGGTGTGTTAGAGAAATGGGATGAGTGAATTTGAAATCAGAAACCAAGACTAGAAACTGCGGTGTTTTTGTTAGTGATCCCATTCAATTTATTTTCCTTTTACTTTGGATTCTAGAACATTCACTTTAATATCTAGTTGATTTCTTTAATGTAATTGTACCTCGTTAATATCCAACTTACCTCAAACCTCTATTATAGACAGTCTTTGTGTCTATGATATTGTAGGAAATTAAGGGATGGGCAGAGAATCTAAGTATGCTTTTCTGTGCCTACTTCTACTGGCATAAGCAACATATCCAGTGAGTTCTCAGAGGTCACCAGCAGCAAAATAAGCAGGGTTCCTTGGTGGAGCTACTCCAGAAGAATGTTAAGTTTCGGTTAATCTGCAGAAATCCTGGGGCAGGCACTATATTTCTCACACCAGTGGTTAGTAGGATGATGCTAAAATATTACTGAAAAGACATTTTCAGAAATCTAGAGAAGTTAGAGACACCCAGGTGACTGATATCTGGGGTACAGAAAAAAGACTTCGGGGTGGAAACCAGGGAGAATGGACTAGTTATCTTCAACTCGGACAGTTAGAGTGGGAGCAGAAAGGAGGTAAGAGATATAGGACATTAGAAAAGCAAAGGAATCAGAATTAGGCACATAATTGCCCATTGTCTTTTTTCATTTATTAAATAAAGCTATTCAAAATCTAATATGTAGAGCTTCTGTTTTTACATGACAGAGTGATTAAAGATTTTGGTGGTAGTGTATCTCTTTTTTTTTTGGATTTTCCCTAATATCATTTGTATTTTTGCTTCACTGGAAATGTATAGGGATTTAGGTGATTTAGCTGATTGTCTTTGTGGGAGTCAGTCTTGTGGTTAAGTGCACAGACCGAGCCAGCTGGCTGAGTTGAATCCCAGCACTACAGCTCAGCTCACCACTTCCTGGCTTGGTGACCTTGGCTGCTGGCTTAACACTTTCTAAGTACTTCCTCTTTAAAACTGGGGTTAATAACAGTGCCAATCTCATAAAGTTGCTATGAGGATCAAAAGAGTTAATATATGAAATAAAGTATTTAGCACAGGGCCTGGCACATAGTAAGCAAGATCTAAGTGTTAGCCACTGTATTTACTCTCTATGGCTACAGTAGTCAGACAATATATTCTTTGCAGGAAATCCTTATAATATGTGTTATTAAGGATACAGCATACTGTATCTTGATCTTTAAAGATAATGATGATATATGCATAAGGTTAAAAAAAAAAAACCTGTCCAATATGGTAGCCACTAGCTAGTTGTGACCATTTCAGTTCAGTTCAGTTCAGTTCAGTTGCTCAGTCATGTCCGACTCTTTGCGACCCCATGAACCACAGCATGCCAGGCCTCCCTATCCATCACCAACTCCCAGAGCCCACCCAAACCCATGTCCATCGAGTCGGTGATGCCATCCAACCATTTCATCCTCTGTCGACCCCTTCTCCTCCTGCCCTCAATCTTTCCCAGCATCAGGGTCTTTTTAAATAAGTTAGCTCTTTGCATCAGGTGGCCAAAGTATTGGAGTTTCAGCTTCAACATCAGTCCTTCCAATGAACACCCAGGACTGATCTCCTTTAGGATGGACTGGTTGGATCTCCTTGCAGTCCAAGGGACTCTCAAAAGTCTTTCCCAACACCACAATTCAAAAGCATCAATTCTTTGATGCTCAGCTTTCTTGATAGTCCACCTCTCACATCCATACATGACCACTGGAAAAACCATAACCTTGACTAGACGGACCCTTGTTGACAAAGTGATGTCTGCTTTATAGTATGCTGTGTAGGTTGGTCATAACTTTCCTTCCAAGGAGTTAAGTGTCTTTTAATCTCATGACTGCAATCACCATCTGCAGTGATTTTGGAGCCCAGAAAAATAAAGTTAGCCAATGTGACCATTTAAACAAATTAAAATTAATAAAAATTCAGTTCCTCTGTTACACTAGTTACATCTCAAGCATACAATAGCCACATGTGGCTATTACCTATGAAATTGGACAGTGTGATATAGAACATTTCTGTCATTGCAAAATGTTCTATTAGAGCTGGTAGATAGTGAAACCTCCCTCCCATTCCTACCACAATCCCTCCCCACCCAGGGGCCATCCCTGTTAAGGATTTCTTGCACAACTTTTCATGGCTCAGACACAACTTTTTTACACAGATATACACTTTCCTGTGACTTTTTTGTTTTAAAATACACTAACTGTATTGCCTTTTTTTACGGATATATAATTGACATAGCATTTTTTAGTTTTAGGTGTACACTATAATGCTTTAATATATGCATACTCTATTGCAAAACGATTACCACAGTAAGTTTAGTATGTCAGCTCCCTACATTTAATCATAGATTTAGAGCATCTGATATTTAGCTTAGGAAGCAACTGTGACAATTTGAAAACACAATTCAAATATAAGGAATACACATTTCAATATATTTGAGAGCAGGTGTAAGAATGGGCTACTTCAAATTTCTCTCCTGTGTGGTACACGCTGCCTACACTGCTCTGAGTTAAGCGAGTTGAATGGATCATCTCTCATCAGCATGTCCGCAATCCTGCAGCTCGCATCCCCGAAAGACAGAGAGCTCTTGCGCTGTGGGAAAACCTCGAGTAAATATTGGAGGTTCCCTGTAGAGACGTCTCCTAACGGGTCAGGAGGCCCGCCCGCGGCCCCTTCTCGGTTGCTGAGGACCCGACCCGAAGGTTGGCTCGCGCGGCGGCCCCTCTAGCCGGAGGAGCTTGAATCCCGCCGTCCGCCCGCCCGCGGAGAGCGGCGCCCCCTGTCGCCCGGTCGAGGAGGCGGCGCCGGCTCCCGGGAGGCCGGGAACATGGCGGGGCAGCCTGCGGCCCCGGCCACACCGCCGCCCAGCCGGGACCGAGCAGCGCCCAACGTGGTGGCGCGCATCTCGCAGTGGGCCGACGACCACCTGCGCCTCGTCCGGGTACTGCAGGCCGGGCGGTGGTGGGCGCGGGCCGCGCAGCGCCGGGCTGAGGGAGACGCGTCCTGGGGGAGGCCCGGGCAGCGGCGGAGGGCCGCCGGGTCGGGGCGGCGTGTGCGGGGCCGCGGGGGGCGCGCGGCCTGGCGGGGCTGCCCCGGCCCCATCACTGCCCTGACGGTGCGGGGCCCCGGGATGCTTCCGAGGGGAAGCCGCAGCCCAGCGCGGGCCGCCAGCGGGGCCACTGGCGCAGTTGGGGAGGGGCGGGCAGTTTGAAAAAGGCGGAGCATCGCAGGCGACCAGGGGAGAGAAGATTGCGACCGAGACCTGGTGGTGGTTTCTTTCTTTATAACAAAGAGTCAGCGGGGCTGCCTGTTTCGTGGATAGTGTGGCAATTGCTGAAATGGAGGAGCTGGGATAAATGATTTGTTGGGGAAATCTACAGAGCTTTTGGCAAGGTGAAATTGAAGATGCCAGTTAGACTTCTAAATGGACACGTGTGAACCTGAAGGTGGTCCTCAGCCTTCTCAGCGTAGCTTAGGTGTTCTAGGCAACTGCATGCAGGAGTCATGTCTTGAAGGGAGATCGGAACGGGAATCGGAGTGGGCTGCATAAACCTTAAGTATTTAAAGTGTAAATAAACCTTGTAGTATTTAAGAATTATTATAGAAAACTTCTAGTATTCAAAGCTTGGATGACGTTTTGGAGCGAGTCAGAAAAGCTCCTGAAAAAGCTCTAGGGCTGAGACCTGAGGGCCTCTCTAACATTTAGAATTCGGGGAGTGAAAAGGTCAGGAAAGACTCGGAGGGAACAGACAGGGGAAGAGGAATATTAGGAAAACCAAGTGTGCTAGAAGCCAAGTGAAGAGAATGTTTTCAGATGCAAGAATTCTGCTGGGAAGTTAAGTAGGCTCATCAGCTTTGCAAATACTTGGCGGCCAAAGTGCCAGGACCATGTCTATTTTTCCTCACCAGGACTGCAGCTCGGTGCTGAGGCTGAGTGAAGCTCCCTCACCTGCAGCTCAGTCCTGAGAACAGTGCCTGCCACTTAGTGCTACATGAATATGTTTAACATTAACGAATTGTATACATATATGTGTGTGTATACATATATGTGTGTGTATGTGTACACAGAAACACGGATGTTAATTGACAAGGCCTTGGTTCTTCCAATTAAGCAGGAAGAGATGCATTGGTTAATTTCAAATAAAAAAAATAACCTCATCAGGATTGGGAAAGGAAACTGTATTTAAATTAGTGGATGGATGTTTTATTCCAAATAATCCAATCACAGACTGTACTATTGTATATATTTTCATCTCTTACATGCTTAGTTGTATTTATTGAAGGAAAGCACGTTAGATTACCACTGTTGGTGAGGGAGTTGCAGGATCCTTGTTAATTAAACTCCTTTAGATCGATTTCAGTTTAAATGAAACACTTTAAAAACATCGCTATGATTTTCCCGACTGTTTTACCCATATGTTTCCCAAGTGCTGTGTTTTATGGTATTGGTAATAAAGTTTTCTACTAAATACTTTAATTCCACCTGCAGGCTTAGGGTTATGGAGTTCCTGTGGGCCTTGCACAAAAAGTATTAATATTAGACTTATTCATTCAAGGGACTCATGGTTAAAGCAATACAATCAATAGAAAAGAGTACAGTATTATGTATATAATTACTGTGTGTACCAGATTGTTTGGGAGAAAAAGGGGAAGATTAATGGGCTGGTGGGCAGTTGGTTTTTTTGGAAGAAGTGGGCCTTTAGTTGAAGGATATGCCTTATTTGAGCAGTTAGGTATAAGGGATGACTTTTTTTCCTGCCTTTTAGTTAGTACTTTCAGTACTGTGAATAATAATTAGAATTAATCATAAAATCTCTTTCTAAAGAACATCAGCACTGTAATGGCCGTAGCTGGGGTAATGTTACTTCTAAGAAGTGTTCGACTGGTAAGTTTAAAAATTAAGACATTATGATAAGCGCTAGACAGTTAATTTCTCTCACTTCAGATGATTTTTATCTCAACATGGGTATCATTTTGTTATTCATATTAGAAGCTTTTAAATAACATTTTAGAACAGTGAACATACTTTAAGATGTTGGTTTAAAAGTAACACATCCACAGGATTTTATGGAAAGTAATTGCACAGCCTGTCTTTCTATAATGACTTTCCTTCAAGCTTGAAGTAAATAATCACTAAATTTCCGTTTCAGATGTTGAAGAATATCTCAAAAGTGTTTTCTGTAGCAGTTTTAGGTTTAAATTGAAATTGAATTATGTCTGTTTGAACTAAATAATTTATGCTTATTTAGTGTGGTTTTTTTCTTGCCCTTTCAAAAGTATTTTAACAACAGACATTTTGGGAATTTATTTGATAATTCAGGATTTACAAGTACTTTTTAGTATACCTGAATGTTGTCACAGGATGTCATTTCAGCGTCATGCTATGAACTGGAGTAGATATGTTGCTCCTGTATATATTTACTTCCTGTACTTATCTCTGTATTGTTTTGTATTATCATTGAGTGCACCCCGTTACCATACTACACCTTTTCCAGCTGTTGCCTTTACACCCAGACTCCAGTTTGTCTTTTTTTCCTTCTTTTTTTTTTTAATGCCTTGAATTCACTTTTTTAAGCGGAGATATAATTGTCCTACAGGGCTGCCTAGGTTTAAGGTGTCCCGTAGAATGATTTGACTTACATACCTCAGGAAATGGTTACCCCAGTAAGTTCAGTGAGCATCCATCATCTCATATAGATACAAAATTAAATAAACAGAAAACAGTTTTTTTCCTTGTGATGAGAAGTCTTAGGATTTACTTTCATGTATAACAACTTTCATGTATAACATACAGTAGTGTCACTTATATTACTCATGTTGTACATTATACCCCTAGTATTTATTTATCTTATAACTGGAAGTTTGTACCTCCCAAGTTCTCCCTTCCTCCATCTCCTACCTCTCATAACTGCAAATCTGATCTCTTTTTTTATGAGTTTGTTTTTGAAGTAAAATTGACCTACAGCACTATGTTACTTCCTGTTACACAACAGGATTTGATAGTGATTTGATATTTCTATACATGTCAAAATGATCACCACAAGTATGTCACTCTGGAGAGATTCTGCATCATTACTGACTGCATTTCCCATGCTGTACGCTTCCTACCTGTGACTCACTTATTTTATAACTAGTCCCATAAAGACTTTGCAGTGTACTTGCTCAGAGCAGGAATACTTTCCTCCATAATCACAGTAATATTTTCACATCTAATAAATTTAACATTTTTGTAGTAATTTCTAAAATCCAGTGAACATTCATATTTATCTCCTGAAAATATACTTTGTAGCTGTTTTTTCTCTCAGTCTAAGTTTCAGTCAAGGATCATGCACTGTATTTAGTTGTCATGTCTCTTTGGTCTTTAATCTAGACTCTTACACCCACTTTAGTTCTTGTCTCTCAAGACACTGTGGTTTTGAAGAGGCTGAGTTAGTCTTAGAGAATCTCCCACAGTCTGGATTTGTGTTTCCTCCGTAGATTTAGTGTGAACAAGAAGGTGATGGAGTATGCTGCTTCCTGTTGTGCTGCATCAGGAGACTCACAGTGTCTGTCTGTCCTAGAACACTGTCACATCTAACACAATAACTTCCCTGGTGGCTCAGAGGGTAAAGCGTCTGCCTTCAATGCAGGAGACCTGGGTTCAATGCCTGGGTGGGGAAGATCCCCTGGAGAAGGAAATGGCAACCCACTCTAGTATTCTTGCCTGGAAAACCCCATGGGTGGAGAAGCCTGGTGGGCTACAGTCCATGGAGTCACAAAGAGTAGGACACGACTGAGTGACTTCACTTTAGCATCATCTAATATCCAGACAATATAAGAATTCTTTGATTGTCTCAATGGTGTCTTTAAAAAAAAAATAGATGATCTGTTCATAGCAGGATTCTAATGGGCCATATATTGTATTTGTTATATCTGTCTCATTTATTTTATAACAGTCTATACCCCCACTCCCTTTTTTTTCCCTGTAAGCCATTTATTTTTTTAGAATAACCAAGTCATTTATCCCATTATTAATGTTCCACATTCTGGATTTGTCTGCTATAATGTTTTTTCTTGTTTGGAAAAAATTTTTTAAATGTTTCGACCAACTTTACTGTCTTAGGAAGTTGGTTACTAATTTATCCTTCTGCCTGTATGAGGCTCTCACCCAGCCATGCGTGTGAATTAAGCTTGTTTCTATAGTACTGTTGATATGAAAGACATAGGTATAAAATGTTGAGTAACTCCAAGGTGTTAGGTATTTGAATAAATTCCTAATGTTGGACTTTTTGGAGGGGCGTTTTTCTCCTGAGATTGAAAAATAAGGGGAAAAACCTTGTTGATTAGCAGTCTAACTTAAATTGCCTCAGTTTTGGCTAGGTTCTCCCAGCAGTCGCTGCTGTTGCTCTTTAATTGCTAAATTGTGTCCAGCTCTTTGCGACCCCATGGACTATAGCCTGCAAGGCTCCTGTGGCATTTACCAGGCAAGAATACTGGAGTGGGTTGCCATTTCCTTCTCCATCTCCCAGAGTACCTGTATGAATAGATGGTGATTTATAGAATGAGACAGTAACTTAACCAGTAAGATAGTAAGCTAGCCAGATTTGTGTAGTGCCAGGCACAGCTGTATGCTCACTGCTTCTTGATAAATTGTGTCACATTTTAAGGATGTGATCTTTTTTAAAAATGAGGAGTCTGTTTAATGTTCTCTATGTAGTAGCCTCAAATAGTAAAATAATGCCTAAAGGTTTCTAAATAATGTGCTTATAAACACTTCTGTTAAGTCTTTTAAAAATACTAATATAAAGTTAAGAACCAAATTAAAAATGCTCAGTGGTTATCATGTCTTCTTTGAAATGTTTAGAGAATATAAGATGCTTAATTTTAAAATGAAAATAGTAATAAAATGTTATACTTTTCTCCTTGTAAATCAACAGACATCAAAATTCACACATTCTTCAGATATTCCAGTAGAATTTATAAGAAAGAATGTTAAACTACGAGGACGACTGCGCCGAATAACTGAGAATGGTTTAGAGATTGAACATATTCCCATTACTTTACCTGTTATATCTTCATGGAGAAGTAAGTAAGGTACAAAAATAATAGCACTAAATAACTATTTTAAAGTTCCTTTATTAGAAGTTATTTTTAAAATAGCAAAAAAAAGTCATTTTAACTTTTAATAACTCTCCATTGTCTATGAGAGAAAGTTCAAACTCAACTTACGCAAACAAACAATTTATTATTTTATTTATTTATTTAAATTGGAGGCTAATTACTTTACAATATTGTAAAGTATTGCCATATATTCACATGAATCAGCCATGGGTGTACATGTGTTCCCCATCCTGAACCTCCCTCCCACCTCCCTCCCCATCCCATCCCTCAGGGTCATCCCAGTGCACCAGCCCTGAGCACCCTGTCTCATGCATTGAACCTGGACTGGCGATCTATTTCACATGTGATAATATATATGTTTCAATGCTATTCTCTCAAATCATCCCACCCTCGCCTTCTCCCACAGAGTCCCAAAGTCTGTTCTGTACATCTGTGTCTCCTTTACTGTCTCGCATATAAGGTCATTGTTACCATCTTTCTAAATTCAATACAGTATTCAATACAGTATTGAATTGGTGTATTGGTGTTTTTCTTTCTGACTTACTTCACTTTGTGTAATAGGCTCCCGTTTCATCTACCTCATTAAAACTGATTCAAATGCATTGTTTTTAATAGCTGAGTAATATTCCATGCAATTAAAAGATGCTTGCTCCTTGGAAGGAAATTTATGACCAACCTAAACAGCATATTAAAGAGCAGAGACATTACTTTGCCAGCAAAGGTCCGTCTACTCAAGGCTATGGTTTTTCCAGTAGTCATTATGGATGTGAGAGTTGGCCTATAAAGAAAGCTAAGCGCCGAAGAATTGATGCTTTTGAACTGTGGTGTTGGAGAAGACTCTTGAGAGTCCCTTGGACTGCAAGGAGATCCAACCAGTCCATCCTAAAGGAGACCAGTCCTGGGTGTTCATTGGAAGGACTAATGTTGAAGCTGAAACTCCAATACTTTGGCCACATGATGACTCATTTGAAAAGACCCTGATGCTGGGAGGGATTGAAGGCAGGAGGAGAAGGGGACGACAGAGGATGAGATGGTTGGATGGCATCACCAACTCAATAGACATGGGTTTGGGTGGACTCCAGGAGTTGGTGATGGACAGGGAGGTCTGGTGTGCTGTGGTTCATGGGGTCGCAAAGAGTCGGACACGACTCAGCGACTGAACTGAACTGAACTGAATATTCCATTGTGTATATGTACCACAGCTTTCTTATCCATTCATCTGCCGATGGACATCTAGGTTGCTTCCATGTCCTGGCTATTGTAAACAGTGCTGCGATGAACATTGGGGTACACATGTCTCTTTCAATTCTGGTTTCCTCGGTGTGTATGCCCAGGAGTGGGATTGCTGGGTCATATGGCAGTTCTATTTCCAGTTTTTTAAGGAATCTCCACACTGTTCTCTATAGTGGCTGTACTAGTTTGCATTCCCACCAACAGTTTAAGAGGGTTCCTTTTTCTCCGCATCCTCTCCAGCATTTATTGTTTGTAGACTTTGTGATAGCAGCCATCCTGACTGGCGTGTAATGGTACCTCATTGTGGTTTTGATTTGCATTTCTCTGATAATGAGTGATGTTGAGCATCTTTTCATGTGTTTGTTAGCCATCTGTATGTCTTCTTTGGAGAAATGTCTGTTTAGTTCTTTGGCCCACTTTTTGATTGGATCATTTATTTTTCTGGAATTGAGCTGCAGGAGTTGCTTGTATATTTTTGAGACTAATTCTTTGTCTGTTGCTTCATTTGCTATTATTTTCTCCCATTCTGAAGACTGTCTTTTCACCTTGCTTATGGTTTCCTTCATTGTGCAAAAGCTTTTAAGTTTAATTAGGTTCCATTTGTTTATTTTTGCTTTTATTTCCATTACTCTGGGAGGTGGGATGATCCTGCTATGATTTATGTCAGAGAGTGTTTTGCCTATGTTTTCCTCTAGGAGTTATATAGTTTCTGGTCTTACATTTAGATCTTTAATCCATTTTGAGTTTATTTTTGTGTATGGTGTTAGAAAGTGTTCTAGTTTCATTCTTTTACAAGTGGTTGACCAGTTTCCCAGCACCACTTGTTAAAGAGATTGCCTTTTCTCCATTGTATATTATTGCCTCCTTTGTCAAAGATAAGGTGTCCATGGGTGTATGGATTTATCTCTGGGCTTTCTGTTTTGTTCCATTGATCTGTATTTCTGTCTTTGTACCAGTACCACACTGTCTTGATGACTGTAGCTTGGTAGTATAGCCTGAAGTCAGGCAGGTTGATTCCTCCAGTTTCATTCTTCTTTCTCAAGATTGCTTTGGCTATTCGAGGTTTTTTTTATTTCCATAAAAATTGTGAAATTATTTGTTCTAGTCTCTGAAAAACGCTGTTGGTAGCTTGATAGGGATTGCACTGAATCTATAGATTGCTTTGGATAGTATACTCATTTTCACTATATTGATTCTTCTGATCCATGAGCATGGTATATTTCTCCATCTATATGTGTCATCTTTGATTTCTTTCATCAGTGTTTTATAGTTTCCTATATGTAGGTCTTTTGTTTCTTTAGATAGCTTTATTCCTAAGTATTTTATTTTTTTCGCTGCAATGGTGAATGGAATTGTTTCCTTAACTTCTCTTTCTGTTTTCTCATTGTTAGTGTATAGGAATGTAAGGGATTTCTGTGTGTTAATTTTATATCCTGCAACTTTACTGTATTCATTGATTAGCTCTAGTAATTTTCTGGTGGAGTCTTTAGGGTTTTCTATGTAAAGGATCATGTCATCTGCAAACAGTGAGAGTTTTACTTCTTTTCCAATCTGGATTCCTTTTATTTCTTTTTCTTCTCTGATTGCTGTGGCTAAAACTTCCAAAACTATGTTGAATAGTAGTGGTGAGAGTGGGCATCCTTGTCTTGTTCCTGACTTTAGGGGAAATGCTTTCAATTTTTTGCCATTGAGGATAATGTTTGCTGTGGATTTGTTATATATGGCTTTTATTATATTGAGGTATATTCTTTCTATGCCTTCTTTCTGGAGGGTTTTTTTAATCATAAATGGATGTTGAATTTTGTCAAAGGCTTTCTCTGCATCTATTGAGATAATCATTTGGTTTTTATCTTTCAATTTGTTAATGTGGTGTATCACATTGATTTGCAAATATTGAAGAATCCTTGCATCCCTGGGATAAAGCCCACTTGGCCATGATGTATGATCCTTTCAATATGTTGTTGGATTCTGTTTGCTAGAATTTTGCTAAGGATTTTTGCATCTATGTTCATCAGTGATATTGTCCTTTAGTTTTCTTTTTTTGTGGCATCTTTGTCTGCGGAAGAGTTTGAGTAGGATAGGTGTTAGTGCTTCTCTAAATTTTTGGTAGAATTCAGCTGTGAAGCCATCTGGTCCTGGGCTTTTGTTTGTTGGAAGATTTCTAATTACACTTTTTATTTCTGTGCTTATGATAGGTCTGTTAAGATTTTCTATTTCTTCCTGGTTCAGTTTTGGAAAGTTATACTTTTCTAAGAATTTGACCATTTCTTCCAGGTTGTCCATTTTATTGGCATATAGTTGCTGATAGTGAGTCTCTTATGAGTCTTTGTATTTCTGCATTGTCTGTTGTGATTGCTCCACCTTCATTTCTAATTTTGTTGATTTGATTCTTCTCCCTTTTTTTCTTGACGAGTCTGGCTAATGGTTTGTCTATTTTATTTATCTTCTCAAAGAACCAGCTTTTAGCTTTGTTGATTTTGGCTATGGTCTCCTTTGTTTCTTTTACATTTATTTCTCCCCTAGTTTTTATGATTTCTTTCCTTCTACTAACCCTGGGGTGCTTCATTTCTTCTTTTTCTAGTTGCTCTAGGTGTAGAGTTAGGTTATTTATTTGATTTTTCTCCTGTTTCTTGAGGTAGGCTTGTATTGCTATGAACCTTCCCCTTAGCACTGCTTTTACTGAATCCCATGGGTTTTGGGTTGTTGTGTTTTCATTTTCATTCATTTCTATGCATATTTTGATTTCTTCTGTGATTTGTTGGTTATTCAGAAGTGTGTTGTTTAGTCTCCATATGTTTGTATTTTAATAGTTTTTTTTCCTGTAGTTTATATCTAATCTTACCACATTGTGATCAGAAAAGATGCTTGAGATGATTTCAATTTTTTTGAATTTACCAAGGCTAGATTTGTGGCCCAGGATGTGATCTATCCTGGAAAAGGTTCCATGTGCACTTGAGAAAAAGGTGAAATTCATTGTTTTGGGGTGAAATGTCCTATAGATATAAATTAGGTCTAACTGGTCCATTATATCATTTAAAGTTTGTGTTTCCTTGCTAATTTTCTGTTTAGTTGATCTATCCATAGTTGTGAGTGGGGTATTAAAGTCTCCCACTATTATTGTGTTACTATTAATTTCCTCTTTCATACTTGTTAGCATTTGCCTTACATATTGCAGTGCTCCTATGTTGGGTGCATATATATTTATAATGGTTATATCTTCTTGGATTGATCCTTTGATCATTATGTAGTGTCCTTCTTTGTCTGTTTTCACAGCCTTTATTTCAAAGTCTATTTTATCTGATATGAGTATAGCTACTCCTGCTTTCTTTTGGTCTCCATTTGCGTGAAATATCTTTTTCCAGCCCTTCACTTTCAGTCTGTGTGTGTCCCTTGTTTTGAGGTGGGTCTCTTGTAGACAGCATATATAGGGGTCTTGTTTTTGTATCCATTCAGGCAGTCTTTGTCTTTTGATTGGGGCATTCAACCCATTTACACATAAGGTAATTATTGATAAGTATGATCCTGTTGCCATTTACTATGTTGTATTGGGTTTGAGTTTATACATCCTTTCTGTGTTTCCTGTCTAGAGAAGATCCTTTAGTATTTGTTGAAGAGCTGGTTTGGTGGTGCTGAATTCTCTCAGCTTTTGCTTGTCTGTAAAGCTTTTGCATTCTCCTTCATATTTGAATGAGATCGTTGCTGGGTACAGTAATCTGGGTTGTAGGTTTTTC